TTCAGGTACTTGACCATCAGAGCAGGTGGAACTTGGAACCTGCAAAAACAATTCGTCTGCTGATAAATGCCAGTCTTTAAAGTCAGTTGCTGCTTTCAGAAGCATCTGTCTCTTTCTCTAACATACTTCTGGTTAACATCAAGGCAGGTGTTACCAAAACTGTCAATCCAACATTCCATAATTAACAACAATGCCCATAGAGCGCATTATAGATTTTTGAACAGGCAAATCAATGATCAATAAGTGGTCTGGCCTAACATTAAAGGAACTCAGCTTTCAACTTTCTACAGTAAAGGTTAATGTATTATTACAGGAGCACCACCCATCTATCACCCGAACTCTGCACTACTCAGTATATAAATTGAGTCCAACTATAGGCCCAACTTCAAACTACTTAATGTATGTGTTTCCTCTGTATATTCCGGTCTCCTCCCACTCTATAAAGTCATTTTAGTAGGTTAACTGGCTCTTGTCTACATTGACCCTAGTATGTGTATACAAATTACCCATACATTATGTGTCACCATTCTCTACATGCCAGTCCCATACCTAAGCAATCAGGGAAGACTGAGGAAAACTAAACTTGGGAACCTATTTCATAATCATTTACCAAGTGGATTTTATGAAAAAAACTCAATCAGGTATATTGAACATGGTGGCCAAAAGATTACTGAGTGTGAGATATAACTGATCATATGTATACCACTAAAACACACCTCTTCTTGAAAGACTTTTAAATTGTGTCCATTGCAACATCTTAATTATCTTTGATTGGAAGTATAATATTAACCAAAATGCACAATCAAGAGAAAACATAAAATTTGTACTTTTTTCCCTTAACCTCTTGCTGCTGGCTGAACGCAAATGTGCGGCCTCCCGTAGTCTGGGCTTAGACGCCAGGCGGCCGCACATTTGTGTTCTATTTTAAAAAAAAACATATGTGCTGAGAGCGCGCCCTGCGCGCTCCCAGCACACACGTTCGGTACTCACGGAAAGGTCCCAATCTCCTCTTTCGATCGGAACCTTTTACGATCATATGACCGCCGTGACAGCAAATCATGGCAGTCACATGACCCTAAAATCCCGCCTCGCCTCCTAGAACTCTTAAAGGGCCGTGAGGCATCGTCCCCAAGGGGTTAATATACAAAATGATTTGCTTAAATTTAAACTAATTCATGTAGAAAAATATACTTCAACTCAAATGCCAGTTATGTGTAAAAACCTAACTTCAAACCTTTAATTCAGTATCAACCTTTCTTCCCCTGTACTGTGCATATCCTGTGGACCATGTTTTTCACTCCACCAGTGGTTCTACATTACAGTTCCACTATAATGATTATGGTAGAACAGGGGCGGACTGACTATTCAAGCACTCGGCACTGCCCGAGGGCCCGGGGTCAGTAGGGGGCCCCATGAAATGCCCCATGGTACCTTTTTATATTCTTTTTTGAGTGTGCGCAAGGACACAGGGGCCCCATGATCCCCTATTGCCCCGGGGCCCCATGAGTTGTCAGTCCGCCCCTGTGGCAGAATATACCAAAGTACATTAGCTGTCATAATGTAACTTAAGCCCACACAGAAAGGGACAATGTACAATTACAGTTTTTTTTTGTATAAATGTTTGGGTTTAAAAAACCCTGCAAGGCATAAAAATTAAGTAAAACATCCCACATATTAAAATATTACTGTGACTCAAACATGTTTTTTTTCTTCCCTATTGTTTAACTTAACCACATCAATACTGGGCACTTATACCCTCTTCCTGTCCAGGCCAATTTTCAGCTTTCAGCGCTGTCGCACTTTGAATGACAATTGCGCAGTCATGCAACACTGTACCCATATGAAATTTTTATCATTTTTTTCACACAAATAAAGCTTTCTTTTGGTGGTATTTAATCACCACTGAGTTTCTAAATTTTTACTAAATAAAACAAAATAAACCTGAAACTTTTGAAAAAAAATAAATAAATAAAAGCACTTTTCTTTGTTTCTGTTATAAAAGTTTGCAAATAAATAACATTTCTTCATAAATTTAGGTCAAAATGTATTCTGCTACACTTCTTTGGTGAAAATAATAAAAAATAATAATTTAATTTGTAATTCTTTTTCAAATGTTTCTTTTATTATTTTTTAATACATTCTTTTTTCTTTTTTTTCTCAACACACTGTGACCAAAGCAATACAATGTTACCATTGTAACATTGAACTACTCTAGGCAAGTGATCAGGCTTTTTTTTTTTTTAACAGATTATGCTTGCTAATACCACTGTATTTCATTGATATTTGCGATCATTGTTACTGAATGAAACTGATTAATTCAATCTTTTGTTGTGGTTAGCTGTGATTGTGCAAAGCTGATCACATGATACAGATGGGCTGTGAATGGCCCCGTCTGTATCATGTGACTTCTTTGACCAATCACAGCTAACAAAACAATTGTAGACAGGAAGCCATCCATTGTATACAATTGACATGTGAACTGCAGTGATTGGTCACAGCGGTCACATGACACTGGCAACGGGCCGGTGTAGTAATATGTCATCCACGGAACACAGCAGGTGACAGATCGCGCTGCTGCGTGGCCCCGCGGTCGCGTGAGCAGCTCATTTTGACAGGACATCATATGACGCCCAGTCACAATGAGGAGTATCCTGCCCGGCCTATTGCAGATTGATTGATTAATGTGTTAATCAGAGAAAACGCTTAGATATCCATCATGCAGCATTGAGATTATTAGCTGCTCTGTTTTACCATCAGTTTCTCCAAACACTTTCAGTACGTTTAAATATTATATAACATAACATCAACAATAAAATGACACAAATTATTCATAGAGGCTGTAATCTTCGTCTTTAGTTCTTGGACATCAAACCATATCAGACAGGTGGATTAATGCTGTCCAGTACTATCTAAGAACTAAACAAAATGAAAGGTCTTAGTGTGGTATCATTACAGTTCCCTCCTAAAAATGAACAAATGGTTAGCACAAAATATACATTATACAAAACATATGACCATTATTTTGTTGACTCTCCATTTCTCATATTTAATGAGCTCATATTAGTTATCACCACGTGGATTTTCATTAAAGGACGTCCATTAAAAGTTGTCATTAATTAACCATGGTTGAAGGGACAATGACGATAACCTTTATAGTGTGTTCATTACATTTGTGCACAAAGATTTTACATCACCGAATCCATAAATGATTTTTCTATCTACGCCTCTTTCTCAATCCCAACTATATAGATCATAGGAACTTCTTGACTTCTAGGAAGAGATCTGGTTCCTTCTGTATTCATGAAAAAAAAAACTTTAAAACAATTAATGTTCTGGAATATCACACTTTATTACAATTAGCAACAAAGATCTATACAAAGTAGATATCCATCTCCATTGATCATTCACTATTGTCCTATCTTATACTACTGGTATTTACTAGCTGGCTTAACTTGTAAAATGATTTCTATTAAAAGGCTACAATAAGGTTTTGTCAGTGGGTGGAGCCTTCTTCCTTTTCCACATCCAGTAGGCTGTAATGGGAGTTAAACATTTAAATAATTATAATTCTCATGACTACTTTTCAAAATTTTAAGGGTTTTCACATCGGTCAGCCATTTTCTTTTTTTTAATTCAAATTATTTAATAAGTTACGTAGTAAAAACTAAAAAATTTTCACCACGATTTCATTTTGCAAAAATATTCAAACATTTACTGTTGCCTTATAAAATCTCTTACATCACCACATTTGAACATCATGTTATTTTAGTCATTTTACAGCTGGCCAAAAATGAACAGATTATCCTGTATTTCACAGACACAGGAGAGAGGGAAACAAAAAAAGGGGGGGGGGGGGACTGATGCAAGCTCTCACACACAGGCAGTCTGAAACTGCAGGCTTTCTTACTCATTCACAAACTCCCAGGACCATTGTCCATAGAAGAGGGGGGAGGGGTGATCACTCATACACAAAACTGTGCTTTGCTGCAAAAGGATTTTTCCTTAAACTAGAACAAAAGCTTTCACTTTTCTCTGCTTCAGTTTCAACACTTTTAACATACTATAAGTAGCTTACCATGTTTTGCAGATTATCAATACTTAGTGTCACCTTTCTGTCTGAATTCAGGCATCATTGTCACATTTAACACAACAACTAAACAACATGCATTCATCATATCGTATAAGTAACATTTCCTCAACATTCGCTAGCTGAACAACACAACGGAAGAGCTCAACATTTACCTTTGTTCGTACATACACACATATCTTATGTTACTGCAGTATTCACCATCTGAGTATCAGCACAGGACAAATTGTCATTCCTTTTCCTACCTGTCTTCATCATTTTCAAACCTCAAAGAACAGCTATGAGCACCAGCAAAAGGGTCATTCCACACCTAACGCAGTCATAAGCTCATCTGTTCTAGATCTAAAAAAACAAACCAAAGGCTAGCCACTAACCACACAGTGAGTGGAAACATTGGACCATTTACCCCTTTGCTATATTTATCCAGTTTAAATCAAACATGTCTGCTACTAACCCACTATCCTACCACCAGCACTTCAAGGGTTAATGATGGCATATCCCTCCAGCACTGAAAGAGTTAAACATCCCATCCTCCTCGCCATATGTAATAAGGGGTTATCCTTATTACTTAAAAGTTCCTATGTTTAATATTTCAGATTGCTGATATGTTACAATAATTTCAGACAAACTCGAAAGTATAACAATAAAAGAATGTATTTGAAAATATATAGTGCTGGTCAAATGTGTTAAACATACAAGGTACTTATCCCAAAATTGCAGAGCCATAAAAAAAACATACAGAGAAGAAAAAGGGACTTTTTAAGAACCAAAACTACAAAGGAAAAAAAGATCAGTTTCCATCAGTGCTGCCTATCTATGCCACCTCATCAGTGCCACCTATCAGTTCTACCTATCTGTGCCACCTCATCAGTGCTGCCTATCAGTGTCCATCAGTGCTGCCTATCTGTGCCACCTCATCAGTGCTGCCTATCAGTGTCCATCAGTGCCCATCAGTGCTGCCTCATTAATGCACATCAATGAAGGAAAAAAAATTACCTGTTTGCAAAATTTTATAATAGAAACAAAGAAAGCCTTTTTAAAAAAAATTTTTTGCTCTTTTTTTGTTTACAGTACAAAAAATAAATACCATCAAATAAATACCACCAAAAGAAAGCTCCATTGGTGTGAAAAAAATTATAAAAAGTTCATATGGGTACAGTGTTGCATGACCGCACAATTGTCATTCAAAGTGGGACAGCACTGAAAGCTGAAAATTGCCCTGGGCAGGAAGGGGGTATAAGTGCCTGGTAAGCAAGTGGTTAAAACAAGCTAAGTAAATTCTTTTATTGCCATAAAAAACATACAGAGAAGAAAAATTGACTTTTTAAGCACCAAACCTACAAAAGAAAAAAAGATCTTATATAAAAAATACAAATTTATTGAACATAGTAGATCAATGAAAAAAAACAAACACAATACATAAAACATCATTTTGATGTGGATGGCGATGATTAGGCTATATATCACCAAAGAGGAAAACATCAACGCGTTTCAATTCATTGAATTTAGAATTTGAATCTTCTTCAGGGATCAAGGTGAGATGCCATAAACAGTATTCCAGAAAATAATAAAGTAATTCAGTGAAGAGAAAAAAAAAAAAAAAACACACCATATGAAGAGTGACTCACATCGCCATTCTTGAAAACCGAAATTCAAAGAATCCTTGCTGGTTAATTCCAGGCATCGTCTATGCAAACAGACCCCTCAGTAGTCCAACTGATTGAATGAATGCTAAACATGAACATAAAAACCATAGATTAGATATATTAAGTCTATTTGCATTCTATGTAATATATGTGAGAATAGAGAATGAAAAAAACTCATAAAATTGTCTAATGGAGGTCAATAGGGAATTAAAAATAGTAACACACCCCTCTATCAAGCACTTAGATCAACCCAGGCATCTGAAACATGGAGATATCCATATGGGGAGAGGCAAAAATATAAAAAAAAAAAACAGCCTTGTCCTAGATGAGATCTATAATCCACTTAAAGTATACAGATAGATGAGTCAATAAAGGCAATAAATATACCTGGACTAGATCACTGATGAGCTTCCCCTGTATGAGGTATCAAAGTGTGGAACCAACAAAATGTTTCCACAAATGGTCTCTAGAAGGTATACAAAAAATAAGATACTAAATGTAGCTACTCATAAAGATCAAACAACAGGCTAATAGTCACAGATGGTATACCTCTATCTTATACCAAGATGGAACCAGCCCAGAGAACCGCCACAGCTACAGCTCCCACTTGCAGAAAGTGAACTGGTACTAAACAGCTTATATAGCCATTGGAGATCAGTGAGACCAAATGAAAAAAGCACATCAGTTACTCATTAGGTAATGAAACACTCACTGGATGGAAAAGATTGTCTCCCCTCACTAAAGATCTCTGCCGCCGACATCCGGGCTGGCATGTCATCACTTCCGGCGCATACGTCGCGTCAGAACGTCATTTCTGGTCCGGCGTAATAAGCAACATATCTCAGATGGAAAGGGAGAAAAGGAAACAAATGCTCAACCTAAGCAAAAAAGAGAAGGGACAAAAAAAGAAACCCCCATTCCCCAAGTGATCGTGTATGGGGGCCACACTTGCCAGATGCAAGGCAATCCAAAAGGAAGACCTGCAAGGATACATAGAGCAACAAAAAAAAAAAAACACACCATATGAACAGTGACTCGCATCACCATTCATAAAAACAAAAAATTTTTAAAAAACCCCCACACACCATATGAAAAGTGACTCACATCGCCATTCATAAAACACAAATTCAAAACAAAAAAAAGGAAACAAAAAAAGGAAATTAACCACTTGCACTCCTGAGGATTTACCCACCTTCCTGATTAGGCCTCTTTTTGCTACTCGGTACTGCACTAATTCAACTGATAATTGCGCAGTCATGCAATGCTGCACCCAAACGAAATTTACGTACTTTTTTCACACAAATAGCGTTTTCTTTCGGTGGTATTTGATCACCTGTGCGCTTTTTATTTTTCACGCTATAAACAAAAAAAGACCGAAAATTTTGAAGAAAAACAAAATTTTTTACTTTCAGCTATAAAAAATATATAGTAAAAACTAAGTTAGTTATAAATTTAGGCCAAAATGTATTCTCCTACATGTTTTTGGCAAAAAAAAATCCCAATAAGTGTATATACTGATTGCTTTGTGTGAAAGTTATAGAGTCTACAAGCTATGGAATAGATACTGCAATTTACGCCATTTTGTTTTGCTATACAGCGCTGCGCTAGTTTAATGGATAATTGTACGGTCATGCAATACGGTACATAAATGAAATTCATGTCCTATTTTCACACAAATAGAGCTTTCTTTTAGTGGTATTTGATCACCTGTGCACTTTTTATTTTTGGCGCTATAAACAAAAACATTTTTGAAGAAAATTTTTTAAAAAAAAAAAACAATATTTTCTCATTTCGGTCACAAAAAATATCCAAAAAAACTACAGTTTTGTCATAAATTTAGGCCAAAATGTATTCTGCTACATGTTTTTGGTTAAAAAAAATCCCAGTAAGTGTATATTTATTGCTTTGTGTGAACGTTATCACGTTTACAAACTATGGTATAGATCAGGGGTGGGCAAACTTTTTGACTTGAGGGCCGCAATGGGTTCATATATTGGACCCGGGGGCCGGACCAAGAGTAGATGAAAGATGTGTATGTGTCATCCATAGTAAGTATAGTAATATTCCCCCATAGTAAGCATAGTAATTAATCCCCCATGTAGTAATTCATCCCCCCCTGTATAGTAATTCATCCCCCATAGTAATTCATCCCCCATATAGTAATTCATCCCCTATATAGTAAATTCATCCCCATAGTAATGCATCCCCCATATAGTAATTCATCCCCCATATAGTAATTCATCCCCCATATAGTAATTCATCCCCCATAGTAATTCATCCCCCATATAGTAATTCATCCCCCATAGTAATTCATCCCCCATATAGTAATTAATTCATCCCCCATAGTAATTCATCCCCCCATATAGTAATTCATCCCCCATAGTAATTCATCCCCCATATAGTAATTCATCCCCCATAGTATTCATCCCCCATATAGTAATTCATCCCCCATATAGTAATTCATCCCCCATAGTAATTCATCCCCATATAGTAATTCATCCCCCATATAGTAAGTCATCCCCCATATAGTAATTCATCCCCCATAGTAATTCATCCCCCATATAGTAATTCATCCCCCATATAGTAATTCATCCCCCATAGTAATTCATCCCCCATAGTAATTCATCCCCCATATAGTAATTCATCCCCCATAGTAATTCATCCCCCATATAGTAATTCATCCCCCCCATAGTAATTCATCCCCCATATAGTAATTCATCCCCCATAGTAATTCATCCCCCATATAGTAATTCATCCCCCATAGTAATTCATCCCCCATAGTAATTCATCCCCCATAGTAATTCATCCCCCATATAGTAATTCATCCCCCATAGTAATTCATCCCCCATATAGTAATTCATCCCCCATAGTAATTCATCCCCCATATAGTAATTAATTCATCCCCCATAGTAATTCATCCCCCATAGTAATTCATCCCCCATATAGTAATTCATCCCCCATAGTAATTCATCCCCCATAGTAAGTCATCCCCCCCATAGTAAGTCATCCCCCATATAGTAATTCATCCCCCATAGTAATTCATCCCCCATATAGTAATTCATCCCCCATAGTAATTCATCCCCCATATAGTAATTCATCCCCCATAGTAATTTCATCCCCCATATAGTAATTCATCCCCCATAGTAATTCATCCCCCATATAGTAATTCATCCCCCATATTAATTCATCCCCCATAGTAATTCATCCCCCATATAGTAATTCATCCCCCCATAGTAATTCATCCCCCATATAGTAATTCATCCCCCATATAGTAATTCACCCCCCATATAGTAATTCATCCCCCATAGTAATTCATCCCCCATATAGTAATTCATCCCCCATATAGTAATTAATCCCCCATATAGTAATTCATCCCCCCTATAGTAATTCATCCCCCATAGTAATTCATCCCCCATAGTAATTCATCCCCCATATTAAGTCCCCAAGTCCCCCCTGTGTCAATTCACTTACCTTTGCTCCGCGCGTACCTCTCGCCATGTCCCGCGCCGTTTCCGGTGTAGCATGAAAATCTGTCTCCTATGAGGATCTGTCCCCCATAGAATTCTCGACGTATCTGCGCATGTGCCAGTTTCAGGCATTAGCAGCCGATTGGCGATCTCCGGCACATGCGCAGATACGTCAAGGGGGACAGATCCTCATAGGAGACAGATTTTCATGCTACACCGGTCTTCAGGGCGGACTGTGAGAGGATCCTAGGGGGAGCCTAGCTCCGCGGGCCGGATTAAAAGGTCCGCCGGGCCGTATACGGCCCGCGGGCCGTAGTTTGCCCATTGCTGGTATAGATAATGGAATTTACACAGCTTTTACTTTCTGAATGCTCATCACATTTCTTGAGGTGCTAAAATACCAGGATAGTACAACACCCCCAAATGACCCTTTTTTGGAAAGTAGACACCCTAAGCTATCTGCTGAGAGGCATATTGAGTCCATGGAAGATTTATTTTTTTTCTACAAGTTTCTGGAAAATGACAGAGACCCTTTTTTTTTTTTTTTTACACAAAGTTGTCATTTAAATGATTTATTTCTCGCACAAGCCATGGGGTATATGTGGAATTACACCCCAAAATACATTCTGCTACTTCTACCGAGTATGGGGATACCACTGTGAGACTTTTGGAGCCTAGCCACATACAGTAGCCTGAAATCCAATGACCACTTTGAAAGCCTGAAGGTGCGTAACTTCCTCATTTCACTTCCTCAAAACCTATCACAGTTTCGAAGGCCCTGACATGCCAGCATAGCACCAAAACCTCCCAAATGACCCTTTCTGGAAAGTAGACACCCCAAGGAATTTAAAAAGAGGCATGAAGAG